GAGGAAAAATGCAGTTTTAACAAATGCAGAACTTTAAGAACTGTTCTGTGGAAAGTGCGCTACAGTTTTTCTTCTGGGAAATTAAACCAAGATGATCTGTTGACAAATCCTTTTAGCACTCTTAGCATCAATGGCTGTCTCTCAGGACTCTCTAGGAAGGAAATCCTGGGTGAAGGCAGTTGACTCGAAGGCGCTGCTGGTGCTTCTTGAATGTAGCTGGTTAGAGTCTCTGTGTGAGGGGTGCTACTGCTGGTGTCTGGCATGGTAAGATTCTGATCAGCTGTTGTCTCTTGAAGTTCAACTTCAGCATTTCTAATGTCACCATCCAAGTTTCCCCTTCTGGTAGGAATACTCAACTTTTTGGCTACTTCTTCAGTTTCCTCAGCAACTCTGTAAACATCTTCAGATTCTCTCCTTCCCAGAACAGAAGATGGAAACTCATTTCCCTTCTCACTTATCTGAGTGGTGCCTGTCCAAGTAATACTGCTGCAACTTCCATCAATCTGTAGCTCCCTGCTATCACTATCAATTGTAATCACTGGTGGAGAAGAGTGTGTCAAGTTACTTGTATGACATTTCCGGTGTTTCTTTTTATCCTTTTTCTTTTTCTTTTTAAGTTGCCTTGTGGCTTCTGTTGCTTTTCCTTCATAGACAATCTCCACGCTTGGACTTCTCCTCTTTTTTTTCTTTTTCTTATGTTTTATGTCGCTGCCTGCTTGACTGTCCGAAAGGCTGTCTTCATTTTTGTAGTAGTCACTGAATTTTGAGAAAGTCTTCTTGGGGTCACTTTCTCTTTCCAGATTTGTGCTCTCAGTGAATGTATTCTCCAGGTGGCGAGTTTTGTACTTCCTTTTTCCACCAGGTTTTTCACTTTTCATTCTCTCAGTTCCCCTCGGAGGAGTCCTTGACCTGTTGCTTGATCGACTCCTTGACCTGCACCTTTCATAACAGTAATAGTGTCTCTCACGAAATCCCCTCTGGCTGTGTTGATCTGCTTTTTCAATAAATGATCGTATCCTACATTCTGGACTAGGAGACTGCCTTGAGTAGGTATCACTAGACTGAGTCCTCCTCCTGCTGGAGGATTCATAGCCATCTCCAAACACCTTTCGACTACAGAAAGCATATCCCCACTGGTGTCTACTTTGATAACTGTCTTTTACATAATATCGATCACTGTCTCTACTTCTTGATCTCCTTTTGCCATGGCCTTTGCTACGTGATCGTGATCTGCTTACTTCTCTGGATGGAGTGCTCTCATGACTGAAAGAGCCTCTCTGGCTTTCTAGAGAGACTTTGCTTTCATGAGCCCTTGACCTCCTGCTGCTTCTTTTGCTTCTGCGTTTGTTACTATCTCTGCTTCTTGATCGTCTCCTTTTAGTTTGGCTTTTGCTATGATGCTCCCTCCTAGACCGATGCCCACGACTGTCACGACTGTTCCATGAACAGGACCGTGGGCTCCTGGACTTTCCCTTTCTAGACAATCTGTGATTCCAAGGGGAGCACACTGTGTCACTCCCTGGAGGGGGGCTCCAGCTTAAGACCTGTGAAGTCAGATCTTTTACCTTACGTTTGTACTTCTCATCATCTTTTGTCTCTGTCTTCTCAACTTCAGGAGACAAGCAGCTTCTACAGCTACCAAGGTTCTCCTTGTATGTGGTGGAATGTGGTGATAAACTCCTGCTTGGTTCACTATCACTCCAGCTGCGACAGCTGACTGGCTGCTGTTTCTTTACATCTTCGTTTTTCTCTTCCCTGATGGGCTCCTCAGAATCTGAGGACAGCTCAACAACTTCTGGTGTCCTCTCAGCTAGTGGCTTAACATACCGAACAAAAACACAATTGTCTGAGGAAGAATCGCTGTCATTGGAGTCAGCATTAGCCTGTAACTGAGTCTGCAGATTGGTTCTTTGACTCTTTGTAGCAGAGCCTTCATCAGAACTTTCTGACATCTCCAGAGTCACAGGAACCTCTTCTGAAATGGAATAGGAAGGCCCTGGAGTTTCATCATCCCAAGGAGCCTGGCTGAGACCAGTCACAGACAAACTGTTATCTGGGCCTTGAGAATATGTTGTATCTGGAGATATTGTAATAACTGACAAGTCTGAGCGGCTTCCTTCATCATACGATGGTGCAGGACAATCATAATTGGCGTGTTGATCATATGCTTCTAAGTTAAAAGGACAACGGGCAAAACTGATGAATTCGTGTAAGAAATGTTCAGTCCGATCCAACAAAAATGGCTTTAGTTCATCAGCAAAGGCCTGACTTTCCAGATCATACTTAGTCAAATTGTTCATGATAAGGCGCTGTACAGTATTAATAAAAGATGCATAGGTACCAAACAGGACTGTAAGTTCTCTCTTCAACCAAGGGACCAACCTGTGAAGGCAGGCAGGGTTACAGCGGAAAAACTCTGCTGAAATGTCTCTGTAGCGGCCACCATCCTGAATGCTACGAATGCGCACACCAGTACTGTACAGAGCTCTGCGGAAGCTGATCAAGTCCTCCACCTGAATCCGCCGCAGAGCTCTGCCATCTGCGCCAGCCTGCCTCCTTGGGGCTGGCCTCCTTATCACCTGCTGCGTCTCTCCATCCCTGTGCCGCGTTGGTTCAGAATACACTGGAAGAGACAGTGTCCTTCGGGAAAGGGAACGGTCAGTGCGATGATCCCCCGTTACGGTGGTACGGTAATGAATTATCCGGCCATCAGGGTCGGTAAAAGGGCCGTTTCCTAGAGGGCTAAGTATGTACTCCTTGAAGTCATCTTCTGCACGAATTGTATGGAAAATAGAAAAGAAGGGTTGCTTGCAGAGGGGGCACTCTGCTTTGTTTTTTGACCACTCCTGGACACAGCGGAAACAGAACCTATGCAAACAGCGATCCAGATATGCAACATTGTCAAATCTGTCCAAGCAGATAGGGCATTTAGAGTCAGGAGAAGCATCTGTTGGCAGCTTGCTTGTGCTGGCTTTTGGTGACAAGTTGCTATCTCCTGAAAACTCCTTATTTGCTGAAGTCATGTTCTGCAAAGAGAGAAAATATCATTCTTATATCAGAGATACAAAAAATGAAAAGCCTAGACATAGAAACTCACAATAGCCACCCATAAGGTGGCAAAACCGAGCTCTAGCACTGAGGGAATACCGAACAAAGAGGCAGGACAACCTAACTGTGTTGCCTGGTTTCTCTTCACAGTGAGATCCGGCTCTTCAGTGTTGCAAGTTTTAAACTGAGCTTGAAGTATGACAGAGGTAACAGGCAGGAATATCTTCTTCCCCTCATATAAATACTGCTTTGATATGGTCAGTAAATTTGTAATTAACATTGTATCCTCCAAAACACACTTCCAAAAGATACCAAAACACACTTCCAAAAGATACATGGGGTGTTGGTTGATGAGAAACTTAACATCAGCCAGCAGTGTGCACTCGCAGCCCAGAAAGCCAACCGTATCCTGGGCTGCATCAAAGGGAGTGTGACCAGCAGGTCGAAGGAGGTGATCCTGCCCCTCTACTCTGCTCTCGTGAGACCTCACTTGGAGTATTGTGTGCAGTTCTGGTGTCCTCAACATTAAAAGGACATGGAACTGTTAGAAGTCCAGAGGAGGGCCACAAAGATGATCAGGGGACTGGAGCATCTCCTGTATGAAGAGAAGCTGAGAAAGCTGGGATTGTTCAGCCTGGAGAAGAGATGGCTGCAGGGAGACCTCATAGCAGCCTTCCATTACCTGAAGGGGGCCAACAAGGATGCTGAGGAGGGACCCTTCATTAGGGACTGTAGTGACAGAACAAGGGGTAACGGGCTCAAACTTAAACAAGGGAAGTTCAGGTTAGATATAAAGAAGAAGTTCTTTTCTGTGTGGGTGGTGAGGCACTGCAATGGGTTGCCCAGGAAAGCTGTGAATGCTCCATTGCTGTCGGTGCTCAAGGCCAGGCTGGGCAGAGCCTTGGGTGATATGGTTTAGTGCGAGGTGTCCCTGACCATGGCGGGGGGGTGGAACTTGATGATCTTAAGGTCGTTTCCAACCATAACTATTCTATGATTCTGCATCTGAAAAATACGAGAACAGTTAGTTCTGTCCTTTAAAAAGAAAAATACAAGAATCGCTCTCAAACTAAGCTGCCAATTTACCAGATCGGCTTGACCTGTACTGTTTCTGCACCCTTTGCCCATATGTTGCTGGGTACTCATGCTGGAGCACATACAGCCTATTGCACTAGACAGCTTCCCGGGATGTGTTCCAGCCTAAATCAGCCTTTTTTTTTTTTTTACAGTTGAATTGTCATTGCTACACCCATAACCAGCTACACACTGTCTCTGTAGTGCAGTAGCTTTGTAGGCAGCCAAGCATGGTCAGCTGTGAACTTATTTTTAAGTTATTTCATGTATCAGCATTATCCTACAGTTATAACTTGCCACACTACATCAACACCCACTAGCTCACCTCTTGCAGCAGGCCCTGGAGCAGGTCGCAACCGCTGCAGGAAATGGGGCACGAAGGGAACTATGCAGGCATACGAGACACACAAACATGGCCACTCATGGGGCACCCACGGGAGTGAAGAGGATCGAGCCTTCCGGTGCGCCACCGCCCTCCCGCCCGCCCGCCCGCTGCGCGACGCCAACCGCCGCCCGCCGGCAGAACCCGGCGCCGCCCGTACTCACCGCTGCCGTGCCCTCGCTCCCCGTGCGGGCTGCGGCCGTCTTCAGCCTGTGTCGTATCCGGTATCGTCCGGCGCTGGCAGCCTCCCGCCGCTCCTCTCCCGGCGGGGAGCCACGGTGGCGGCCGCCCTCAGCCAAAGGCCGTAACGGCTCTGCCATGGGCGGCGCCGCGAGCGCTGTGTTGCCGGAAAACGTTCGTCCCTCACAACCACCGCAAAGCCGAGCCTCCGGCACGCCGCCGGCATAGACGCGGGCGCTGCTTTGAGACGTCACTTCCGTACCACGTGACGACGTCCTGCTGGCAGGTGTGCGTCACATCCTCCGCGGGGCGGGGCTGGGCTGGGCTGATGATGACTGTGGTGAGGCCGCGGGATCCGCGCCCGCTCTGTCGCCTGGTGCGTGCCGCGGTCGGGGACAGGCCCGGGGGAGGGGAAGGAAGGAAGGAGGGAAGGCTGGCGGGTTTCCCGCCCTTGGGTGAGCAGGGCTGGGTGTGCCTCGTGGCGGAGGCAGCGGACACCGGGGCTCGGGTGTCCAGGACAGGGGTCCTGGTGCTGCCGCCGCCAACGCGCAGTGCGCTCTGTCCCGCAGGTGCTGGCCGCTGTGGTGGTGCTTACCTGGGGCTTCGTTCTGTATGGGGCACGAGTGGCCGCCCAGCGGCAGCTGCAGGGTATGCTTATGGCCCAGAGGAAGCCCTAGGCGATGACGGAGCTCGCGGAACGCCACCGGGAGCCATGCGCTGTCTCCGAGGAAACGGAGGAATCCAGGTGGAGGCTGGAGGAGCCCTGTGGTCAGCTGGGCAAATAAAGCGTAAATATTTCTTCAAAAGGAGAACGTAAATAAAGCATAAATAGTTGTTGGGAAAAAAACTTTTTGTACTAGCGCCTATCTGTGAGGGACAGACGTACCCATTCAGACAAAGACAAGACACACAACCAGCTCTAGAGACCACTGCAGAGAAGGTGCTGTCTTCTACAGCACTGCATGTAATACTCCGAGGACTCACATAAAACATGAACAGAGCAAGCCACACCCCTTTTCTACAGCCTTTAGGGATTTGAATTCACTAGTGAAAGCACATGTGGCTACGGAGATGCTGTGGGTACTGGCATAGTCTCTGTTCATCTGGTAACGCTGCCCTTTTGCTCATTCACACCAGCTGGTCCAGCTCCCTGCTCATAAACAAACATGCACTAACACACTAACACACCCGACAGATGCTCCACATCCTCAGATCTCCCCAGGTTCCAGCACAGGCCTATGCCTGATAGCATGCCTGGCCCAGGGCCTCCTCCACACCAGCTAGGCCACCCTGTTAAGGAGCTACATGCCTACCCCAACACTTTTCCCTGTTGTTTCAGGGAGATGCAATCACTTGGCTCCCCAGCAGGCACGACCAGGCACTTGGGCTGTGACCTGCAGTCCTCCTTCATGTGCTGGTGCCAAGACTTGCCCACTTTACACACCCTGGTTGCCCCAGTAGCTGCACTTGGGGCATGCATAATTCCAATTGTGTCCTAGAAGCTGAGCCTCTCTCCCATAGCCTGCACAACCCAGCAGCATCTCATTCTACCCACAGACCTTGTGAAGCCAGAGAAAGCTTTCCCCTAAGGACGTCTGGCCCTGCTTCCTGGGGTCCCTTGGTCAGTGGCAGTGGTTTTCCCACTGGCAGCTTTGTGGGAGAGTGTGGAGGGGCCTTGGTCTCGTGTCCTGCACAGCAGCCACAGCACCAGCAGTGCCCAGGCTTTGACAGTGAGAACCACAGTCCTTTTGCAGAGCACAACCCATAGCCCTGTTTCTGGCTCCCTCTGGCTCCAGGGATGATGCCCTTCTTGGCACATGAAGGAGGTCAGCAGGACGCTCACGCTATTTGATTACTGCCTTTTAGCATCTCCCATGGTAGCTACATCACCCTGTAAATACATGAAAATCATCACAGAACCCAGCAGTGCCCCTACAAAGGTTTCTGTGCTGACAGACTCTCAGCCTCTCCACTAACTTCTATTCTGAGCCAAAGCTGAACAGCTGGATCATCCTTTGCTGTCCATGCAATAAGAGCTCAGGATTGGTGCGTTGTTGTCCCCACTGTGGTGTTCAAGTGGTCACCAGGCACAGTTATCTTTTTCTCCCCCTGGCTAGATGGACACATCGAGCAGCATGGCACCACCAGTAGGAATGACCGGCACAGGCCTGGACAGCCTGTAAGAAAGGGTCTCTGACCACCAGCCTGCCTCTCTGGTTTTCCACCTTTGTTTCAGGCATACCACTGGCATGCTCCTGGAGCTGCAGGGGGGCAGGTATCAGTCACTACAGGGTGTAGGGTTGCTCCACTCTGCTGCAAACCTACCAAGGGTCATTTTGCAGACACTAAGATGGAAATCACAAAACGTTCTTGCTTTGCTCCTCATGGGTAGCCAGTGCTCATGAGCAAGCAGTGCTAATTTACCTGCAAGCTGCCACCAGCTGGCAAAATACTCCCCAGCATTGCTCCCAAGCCTGCTTGCCAGTGCTGCAGGCTGAAGTGGAGCAGGCTTCTGGGAAGCAGCAGCACCAGCTGAATTTCTGTCCCCTGAGGTTAGCTGCTGCTGGGTGTGTTCAGGGGTGCCTCTCCAGCAGCCTCTGGGGTATCAAGAGCTGCCTGCCTGTTGTCTCTGGTCCCTGGAAGTCCAAGACACAGCCTACAACTGCACACAACAGAGATGAAAATCCTGAAAATGTCCCTAGTGTTGACTAGGACCTTGCACAGTGACATCAAGGAGGCACAAAGAGAACTTGCTATTTTTATGGCATGGTCTGTAGCTAACCAAGCAAACCATGTGGTGTTTCAGTGGATATTAAGAAAACTGAGAGTCTCAAGAGCTTTTTCTTTGCCATGCCCTGCCTATTCTCCTTCTTCTCTCTCCTGTGCTGCTAATCCAGCACCATGCCAAGAGTTATTGTCAAGGGTCTAAGAAATATCCCCAGCTCCACATCCTGATGTTTGCCCAAAGCAACATCAGGATGGTGTTAGCAGCAAGAAGTAACTTTTTTTCTCCTGGGTGACATGGGCCTGGGGTCAAAGCCCCCACAGAGGTTGGGAAATACCTCCTTCAAGGATAGTGGGGTGGACATTTTGAAGCTTCTGTCTCTGCCTCTCACCCTTCTGCTTGCCTCTGCTACCTACCCAATAACAGTAGCTCCTTCTGGAAAGCAAGAATTAAAATCATGTGGATTCTAATGATTTGAAACTGCCATCTCAACAAGAAAAGTTTCTGCATAGTGCCACTAAAATCATCATAAAACATGCACTGAAGAGCTCCAGGTAACCAGAGAAATCCCAGAAACTTGAGGTTTAGATTCATCTCAGTTTTCCACATTGGAGTAAGTCTTCACGCTGATTCTTCTTCACAGAATATATACTTTACCTTGAAGACAAGGCCGTAAGGATCATTGTCCAGAATCAAGATCCTGAGACATGGTTTGAAAATAATTAAAGATCTCTAGTAAATACCTAGTCATTAGAAGCAAAAGAATATAACTCAGTGTATTGTCAATAGCAGTATTAAAAAAATTTACTTCCTATGCAGTTTTTATGCTATTTGTCTCATTTCTCAATATGCTAAGCTACCACTCTCTGAAGCTGTCTCTGAAGTCGGGTCCCCTTCCCTTTCAAACTCTCTGCTCACCTTGTGCTCATGTGCTTGCTTATGGAAGTCAAGAAGCACAATCAAATCCTCTTAGCTTGGTTCTGAGATGCTGCAAGAAGGGCTTGGACCCAGTGCTCAGCATCCGTTATCCTCTTCTCACCCACAAGGATGCAGTGCAGAGCAGAAAGTATGTGTTTCACATCTGAAGTAGTACAGCAAATAATTATGTTTAGGCAGCATTAACCATTCAGATGTGATCATCAGAGATGGCTAAAGGAATATATTCATAGTGCTGATTAAATCCCCCTCAGATCCTTTTACCCTTTTTAATCCTTTTTAACAAAGCATAGCTTGTTTATCAGAGCAAGAGTGGTTTATTAGCCTTGAAGTGGTTTGTTTGTTTGTGTAGGTTTCAGGGGGTTGTTTGGAAAAATTGTGATCAGCATGCTTTTGATTAGCACAGCTAAGAGGGTTTTTGTTTAATGAAATGATTACTTGATTCAGCCAGGTACGCAGCCACAGTAATAGCTGCTTCAACAGATACAAAAGATTCTCCTTCAAATACATCTTTGCCTCACTAACATGAGGCAGTACCCATGGTTACATGTTAATTATAAGGTTGATAAGAATATGTATGGACAGTGAATGTTGTAGGTGAGTTATCTGGTGAAGGCGATTGAAAAGAGTCAAAAAAGGACACAAAATTGTTAACAAGCATGTTAGTGTGGGCTAAATTTGGGTTTAAATCTCTTTAATGTACTGACAATAATCAATATTATTTATAGCCTATGATAATAAGTTTCTCCTAGATAACACCAGCAAGGAAGCTGTAACATAATTGCTTCATTCCTGTAGGAATTATGCAAGCTCAAGCTAGAGTTTAATAGAGCCCGCTACTTGCTTAATAATAATGATATGCTTTCATTATCATCTCTATCATTCACGCAATACCACCATTAGACTAATAGCTTTATAAATACAGATTCTGGTAAATACACACAAGATCATGGTGAACGGAAAACTAAGAATCTTTTAAAATCCAGTAGTGACCAGGCATAAAATGCATATAAACCTAAAGACAGTACTTAAGACAAGTAGCTTCCAGGTTGTTACACACTGTCCTGGGTTTAGCAGCAGCAGTCATTTTTCGCTTTCTTGGTAGCTGGTGCAGTGCTGTGTTTTGACTTTCAGGCTGGGAACAGAGCTGATAACAGTGATGTTGTGGTCTGGCCAAGGACTTTGTGAGCCTCATGCTCTGGCAGGGAGGAGGGGAAGCTGGGAGGAAGCACAGACAGGACACCCGACCCAAACTAGCCAAAGGGGTATTCCATACCACAGCATGTCATGCCCAGGATGTAACTGAGAGTTACCCAGAAGGGCTAGGTGGACTCCAGGGTTGGACGAGGTATCGGTGGGTGCTTGGTCAGGTGAGGTGGGGCGAGTTAGACGTCAGCTGGTGGTGAGGTGTTGTATTCTCTTCCCTTGTTATTTCCTCTATTATTATTATTATTGGTGGTATCAGCAGTGGCTTGTGTTATACCTTAGTTACTGGAGTGTTCTTATCTCAACCCATGGGAGTTACATTCTTTCGATTCTCCTACCCATCCCTCCGGGAGACAGGGGAGAAAGGGGGGGAGTGAGTGACTGGCTGCATGGTTCTGGGTTGCCAGCTGGGCTTAAAACATGACACCTTCCATGATTCAGTACTATATGCATACTGAGATGGGACGACCCATTCCTTGCGTCATGCACATTCCTTACATCTGTTTTCTTCTAGGTATGTCAGGAACAGGAGTCACTATGCAGGTTAATGTTTTCTGAAAAGCAGAGGGTGAAAGCAGACTTAGGACCATTTTGTCTGAGTTGTGGTGCTGCCAAAAATACCGTAAGAATTTCAACAGGCATGTTTCAGTTTCTTATCTGCAAACACAGGCTGTCAGTTTTCTTGCTGAGTTGCCAGTTCAGGTCTCCTCTCCTGTTTACTGCAGTCATCTGCCATTACTTGTCACATGACGCAACCACTTCAACTTTTCTGTGGAAAGGAATGCATGTATCAGAACAGAGTTCCATGCTACAGCTCCTTGACTTTTCATGGGAAGCTTGGCAAAGCTTCCCATGTACCCATGAACGTAACTCATTTACCTATGACAGTAACCCATGAACGCAAGCGACTAAACTGAAGCAAAAGCGTACAAAACGTTTGCAGAAGCCAGATGGCAGTGTTGGCACATGCTTTACAGCAC